CACCCTGTACTTAAGCTTTTAATAGGAGCATCAAATTTCTGTAAGAAGGGGTAATGATAACATCGTTTACACTAGAATTATGATTTGTTTTAAATTACTACTAGTTATTAATAATACTTATAAAAGCGGATACTCCGTTTAAAACTAAGTCACCTCAGTGAAATTGGTTGATACCATTGTTTTGTTTTTGAGTTATGTAATAAAAATGAAGCAGCGGAAACAAGAACAAGAAATTAAAACTTTTTGCTATGATATTTACAGACATTGTCAGAACTTGTGACTCAGTCATTAGACATATATTGTTATAAAACGAAACGCTGTACAGTACTGTAAAGGACTGATGGTCTGTTGAAGAGATATTTAAAATACCATTTCGATGAACAATCTGAGCCATCTCTACATAGACAATGCTACCGCCTGCCTGATTAGTAGCGTAAGCATGATATTACAAAAAAATATCACCCCAGATTCACCCCCCCCCCCCCAGCGACTCAATGGTAAATCTAAAGACTCATATCGCTAAAAAACGGGTTTCGATACTTGTACTCCAGATACAGAAGTAATAACAAGCTGATGTGTTTTAGCAAAGAAATGTCACACAAAGGTGGCTGTAACAACATGCTTATAATTGTTATCAGGGAATGAATATCACACCATGATATACATAACAGTGAGCGTTGCTGTGTCATACTTTCACCCTTCAGTGACTACAAAAGAATATATCTTTTATATGGTATATAATAAGATAAAAACCAAAATTTTATCCATTTCATTCAGACTAATTTTCATGTTGATGTTCTGCGTATAATTAGTTGACACGAATCTCGTAAATAAGACGTGAATGGCATAAATTTGCACTAATCTACTATTCTAAGACAAAGATTACATACTACAGCAGTCACTGTATAAAAGCTTGCCTCCTTTGCCGTACTAACGTTCCCCTGAAGTGTGGATCACGCCCAAGATAGGGTAATATAGAGATTTGTACAAGTTAGTATAAACTGTAGTTTATATCCCTTGAATATATATATAATATAGATTAAATAACCTAGAATTGAGAGGTATCGCACTAGGAACTTTGGTTCTGACATAGTAGTGCAATACACATTATTCCAGCTCCAGTCTTTGTCTTACTGCAGACGTCTCTCTTTCCGACTGCGACGCCCAGATAAGTTCTATAAAAATATTCAAAAGCTGGCCATTTGGTTAAAGATACAGTCGGACATCATTGTTGATACATTCAGTGTGAATAAATATTTTATTTTTATTTGTTCATTTGCATTTGCCTTTTCTTTGCTAATTGTGTTTAATTTATAGGAGGTTTCGAGTCTGTTTTACTTCACCATATCCCCCGGTGGCAAAGCGGTATGTCTGCAGACCTATACCTCTAGAAACCGGGTTTCGATACTCCTGGTTGGCAGAGCACAGATAGCCCATTGTGTAGCCTTGTGCTTAACTACAAACAAACTTCCCGATATAGTAATCTAAATTAATTTAGGTATGTGAATAATGTTATGACTATTCGTCGAATTCATTATTCGATATTATACAGCGGACCAACTGTTCAATGACTGTATATATATATATATATGTTAAAGATTTATTTTCTTTTTCACCAGAGGTGTGTTTGATTTATCCTTTGCAAAGCATTTCATGAATATATAGATAAATTATTTGTGTAACATCACATTACAATGAGACCACGCTTCACCAGCATACGGTATTATGTACCCTAAAACTTACACCTTTGAAATAGCTGATATAAATAACGCTTCAATCGAGACAAGGCCTGAGGGTTAGGACACCTACTATCAATCAGTGGGTCACAGGATCGAAACTCATCGTCGAACAAGCTCGCCTTTTCAGTAGTGGAGGCGTTATAATATGATGCTCAACTATTCATATGAAAAGAGTAGCCCAATAGTTGGTGGTGGGTGATGTTGACTAGTTGCCTTCCCTCTATCACTTCCAATTAAAAACGGCTAGCGCAGATTTGCGCGACATTTAACAATAACAACAATCAACCAATTAATCAAGACTTTGTGTGTTGCATGTCCAGTTAACCCAATATGCTGTGATATCGTTAGCAAAGGCATACGGCACACAATGTGTGTGATCGAGATGCTATAGAATATATTTTACTGAAAATCCGTATAGAGCAAGTAAAGAAAGTTGTTGTTGTTATTGTTTGTTTTTAAGCACAAAGCTACGCAAAGGGGTATCTGTGCTCTGCCCGCCACGGGTATCGAAACCCGGTTTCTAGCGATATAAGTCCGCAGACATACCGAAGTAAAGAAAGATTTGTTTATAATCATTATCAGTTCTACTGTTGTGTAATGTTCACACAAACAACTTCGCTGGCATTTGACGTTATGTACCATAATAATAATTGTTCTCTTCCCCCCAGTGGATCAGCAGTAAGTCTCAGGACTTATAACCAGTGGTGGGATTCAGCCGGTTCGCACCGTTAAGTGCGAACCTGTTCTTAGAATTTAATGACCTCTACGAATCGGTTGTTAACAATTGTATGTATAAGCCTAATAATAACGTTACAACTTACAAGTACGCGTGTTTACAACGCAACTTTACTAGCAGGCTAGGCGGACTAGGTTTACTAGATCTCTGATGAATCATTTGCCAGCAGGTTAGTGTTTTTTTATACAGATTCTTATGATCTTATCTAAATTATTATTATTAGATAGGCCAAGCGTCCTAGGCCTACGTGTGAGTGCAAATCTGTGCTGAATTATTAGCCAGCGAGTGAACGCTTTTTCTACAGATTCTTATCTAAATAATTACGTTAATCTATTATTATTATAATACCTAAGGTTAGATCATCTATATT